ATGTCAAGTGCCAACTGGTAAATGTGGGTAGAGTGCTGGAGTGGCCGTCCTGTCATAGACAGGATCAGGCAGGAGTAATCAAAGGATACTAAATCAAATTTTGGGGGCTGGAGACCCTGGTTCAATCCCAGCACTGCAAAATTTTTTTTAAAAAAGTGACTAAGAACAACATTTTGATGAGGAACAGGGCATTTGCATGTCTCATCACAAAAATTATGATTCAATGAATAAAATAAGCAACATCTTGACCAGATGATTAAATTTAACATCACCAATGAGGAGAAGATGGACATGGTGCATCTCCAGATGTGACCCCTGTCCCCTAAGAAAGACACATCACCTATGCAGTGTTCCAGCCAAGAACACATAGCTGGAGTCTCTAATCATAAGATCAGACAAATCCAGAATTCTACTTTAAAAAGGGAGCAAGTACTGTATTCTTCAACAATTCAATGTTACGAAAGCAAGGAGGGTTTGTAGGAACGTTCCAAATTAAAGAAACGAAAAAGACATGAGAAACCAAGGCAACATCAGAGCCTACACTAGACCATGGGCTGTGGATGAGGAAATGCTACTGAGGACATTCTTGGGCCAACTGCCAAAACTGGGATATAGAGAATAGTTTGCACACACACATTGTATGCAGGATATGTTTACTGGAGTTTTGTAAGTGGACTATGCTCATGTAAGATATTTAGAAAAAACACACTGGAGTAGTTAGAAGTACAGGCCACACTGTATAACGTAACCTGGAACATTTCAGAAAAACTGAAGAGAACCCATGAATGAGAAAGAAAATGGGGTAAAAATTCAACAGTGAATTTGGAAGAGTATTTTACTGTGTAGTTTATATTTTTATTCTTATTTTTGTAGCCATTTGAAAATGGCTCCAAATCAGGAGTTAAAAAGGAAAGATTTGAGGGAGGAGAACGACTGCAAAAGGTCACAGGGGATGATGGACATGTTCTAGAGCATGACTATGCCTATGCACTGAACACATCGATTTGTGCACCTAAGATCCGCATCTTTTACAGTATGTAAAACATCAACAGAATTTATTTGAAAAGGCACAAAGGGTAAAAGGTCATTATTTCAAAATGTTCTGTAATGCATTTAAAGGCAGAAAGAAGAGGGGGTTCTTGCTTTGCCTCTTGAGAGGTCGCCAGGGTCTGCTGTGCCATGGATGGAAGCAGCCCATCTGGCCAGGTCTGTTTTATTCCAGCCAGGATGGACATAAGCATAGATAAAAACAAAGCACACACACAGAAAGCCACACAATCTCTCTTTCTGAAGAATTTTGTGGGGGAAATTCACCATTTTGTATTAACATTTCATAATGAACACAATACTTACATGCACGGTTAAGATAAAATGTACAAATACTCAACAAAATCTTGCCTGTAAAGAACTCCTTCATATTATCCCAGAGGCTGAGATCATCACTTACCATTCTCAGAAAGTTCCCCCGGTAAGTGAGGAGAGTCTGCAAGTTTCTCCACAGTATGTAGATGGTTGTTAGCATCCTACACTCCCAGTGTTTTGAGGTCCAATTCAGATGATCCCTCATCCAGAAGCTCCCCAGTCCTACTCTGCTTGTACCACCTCTTAATCTCTGTTAAGTTTTCATGAACATCTACCTTATAACAGCTACGTATGAACTAGCCCCCTCCAATGCAGCCCTAGGAAATGATTCCCTGCACTGAGAACCATGCCTGGCAGGTTTAAAAAGTCTGTTGGATTGAACTAGTCTGAGCTGAATGACCATGGGCACATCATCTGTCGCTTTCTACCAAGAAACCCACATTTTCTGTGCCATTTCCTCTAATGGACTTCCCACTGGAGAACATGATAGCTAGTTCTAAAAGACTTTGTTATAACTAATCCAATAAAACTTTATGGGATACAGACTTTAAACTCTTTGGTTTCAGTAGGAAGAGAAATTTTTTTAAAAAAAATCAATTTATTGCTCAGAAAACCCTAGGAGAAACTCATAGCAAAATATGTCTGCTAACTCACTACCAGGAAAATTCAGACAAGCTTCTACATGATCTATAACTAGTCAACTACACTGGAAAAGGACACCTCATTTCAGCCGGAAAATACTAAAAATGAAGCAATGATAGCTGACACTTAGTACACACTGCCAGCAAAATCCCAGAGGTTAGTCCACAGCCAAGAAATGGTAGAGCCAGGATTTGAGCCCAGACAGATTGGCCTAAAAATCTACATTTTTAACCACTATATCAGTTGTTATAAGCTAAATTATGTTGTCCTGCCAAAACTCATAAGTTGAAGTTCTAAAATACCAGTATTTTAGAAGGTAGGTGTATTTAGAGATAAGATGATTAAGATAAAGAGTCCCTTCAAGTAGGGCCCTAATCCAAAAGGACTAGTGACCCCTGAAGAAAAAGAGAGGGCAAGGATGTTCCTACACAGAGGAAAGGCCACACAAGGACATGGTGAGATGGATGCTGTCTGCAAGCCAGGGAGAGAGGATTCCAGAGAAACCCAACCTGCTGATACCTTAATCTTGGACTTTCATTCTCCAGATTGTAAAAAGATAAAATTTAGTTGCTTAAGTATTCAAGACCATGGTGTTCTATTATGACAGCCATAGCAAACTAATACAAATAGCGTAAGTTAAATATCAATTTTCCCTCCTTCTAGAGAGTTCCAAGATGAAGTCTGTGGTCAGAGTTACTGGAAGCACTCAACCCAATTAGCAAGCAACACTAAGTCACTAAACGATCACACATCCTTGCTACAGAGCAGTTTCTTTCTACACTGAATACTACCCATCAATGTCCTTATCAGAACTCCTTTCCATCCTTCCTTTGTTCCAAGGAACTGATAAGGAATTTCTGACTACTAAACTCAACTATATTCTTTACTTTCCTTATCTCCTCCAGATGAGGTCTCACACTGGCATCTCACAATTACTAGACAACAGTTTTTATCTTTCCCTACTGGACAGTGACCCATGCTTTTATTAAGCACAGTCAGGATGCTGCTCCACTGAATGCACTTGGAAAGTCTCCTTATCCTTGTTGCAAAACCATGCTTCATGATGAGAGAGTCGGTGGCTTTTCAGGTCATTCCATGCTTCACACACAATCCTAAATGCCCATTTGCAAAGTGGGATTTTCATCTAAGACACTTAAACAGTGACTGATCTAATTCACCCACTGTAGAGAATATTGTAATTCTTTTGCTCCAACTCTATGACTTCAAACAAAACAGCATACACCCTTTCCTGACCCTCGCATCATCCAAGTCATTGTCTTTTCCTTTATCTTGAGAAGAACAGACTGTGCCCCACAATTAAAGATTGAAAGAAATCAGAGGTTATTGTTTTTTAGTTCATTTCAGGGGTTCTGGACAGCTGCATGTGGTTTGAAAACTATATTTTTAATAGAAAAATGGTCACTGAGATGATGTACTAATGATGAAAACTGGGGCTCAGGAAGATTAGGCAATGCCTTGAGGGGTTTGGAGGGTGGAGCAAGGGCCAGACAAGAGCATGGGGGTTAGAAAGACCTCTAGTCACCTGGGTTAAAATTGACTCTCAGGGGCAAAGAACTTACCTACAAACATTTCTTCCCTAGTCTGAGTGCAAATGCAATCATTTTATATCAAATGAATAGGTTTATTACCAAGAGAGTATAGCTTAGCTGATTGCACATTTTTTTCGCAGGACTTGTATCAGGGAGGGGAGCAATGTAGACTGTTGGGTGGCCACCCTGCTTGGACTAGCAGATTTTTAGCCTTTTGAGGAGGGCACAGCCTGCAGGGTAAACCAAGCCAGATTCTCTAAACCCAGGATAAATGTGTGTTTGTGTGTGTGTGTGGGGGGGGGTTCTTTGCTTAGTCCAAAAGCAGTATGACTAAAAGCCCTCTATTTTATGCTAACTAGATCAACCGGTCTTTCCTTGAAGCTCTCAGGGAGAGTGACTACTTAAAGAAGAATAAACAAGCAGARGATGAAAGGTACTGATTCCTGTACAGTGAAATACTTGTGGCTATTTAGAGGGGAAATGGATATCTTGATATGAAAGAAGGAAAAAAATAAATATTCTTCACACAGTAAATTTATTGAATGGCAATTTTAGAAGATCAGAAGGTGTGGGGTCCTTGCCTTATCGCAAAAATTGTCTCCTTAAACTGTTTTCTTTCTATTTCTGAAAGAACTTTGCAGAGACACCAAAACAGATGAAGAATTAGCAGCGTGGCTGGGGTTGCAAAGCTGAACCCCAGGACAAAGCTGATTGCCAAACCAAAGGTGGCAGGGGAGGCTTGGGTTTGCTGCAAACACAAAGGCCTGCCAAGGAGACAGACCCGTGGGAGGCGGATGAAGGAGGTCACAAGAATCAGAAGAGGCTAAGGACATGGGCTTCACCCCCATCACTAGGCAAACGAGATACTGGGCTAGTTTCAGGGCAAGTTTCTCAGGTTTCCAATTCCCATACTTCTCTAAAATGGGGTTAGCGCCTGACCATATCACTTGGTTATGTCAGTAAGAACTTAGCTGGAGGCTGCACTTGTTAAGTGTCCAGTCCACTGCACTTCATTTAGAATTGAAAACATTGCAGACCAGAACTATGGAGACTGCTGTCCCCGGGAAGAAGATGGGGGTCAGTCATTTCCCCGCTACCAACCCTGACATCCAACTTGGGGATCTGCAGAAGCAGTGCGCTGGGGGTTGAGGAATAGACGAGGTTTTAGGCAAACTGAAACCCATGGGACAAAGCAGACAGAGGTAAAGGTTACTTCCCAGCCCTGTTTCCAAGTCGTGAGGGGGTACTTTCAAAAGTGGCCCGGCCAGAGGTTCAAAGGACTGGCGCCTAAGGCCCAAGTTGCCGACCTCCTCAAATTCCGAAGGGAATATGAGGAAACTGTGCCGCACCCCTCGGGGCTCCCGGCGCGACTAGAGGATGGCTAGCAAAGGGTCTGGGAGGGGAACCCCAGTGCACTGGGGTTCGGGGGGATACGCAACCACTCACCCAGTAGCAGCAGCTTGAGTTCGCGGCGCGCGTCCTTCTTGTCCCGGCGAAGCTGCCTCTCGATCTCAGCGCTAATGCGCTGCGATTCCTTCTCCTCTGCAGACAGACAGCAGCAGCCAGCCATGCTGCGCTGAGCACCCGACGGCGCGACGTCTCCCTGCGCTCTCTTAAACTCAGCGGGGCAGCTCGCCGGGTGAATCCGCGCCAGGAACAAGAGTTTGGAGAGAAAACGCCTGGGCGGATTTGGGTTTCGGAGTAGGAAACTTGGGCCTCGAGGGCTTAATCACTCCTCAAGGGTCAGATCTGAGGCAAGGGCGAATGCTGAGCGCTGGGAGCGCTTAAACGCACCCCGGGTCCGGGCTCACCCAGCACCACACTTGATCCGGGGAGGAAAAGGGCTTAGCCGCGAGGTTGGGAGACTGCTGCCCTCGAGAAGAAGCGCGCGCTCTTTGGCACAATAGCAGGACACCCAGTTAAGCGAAGGAGATCGCGTACAAAAAGTTGGGGTTTCGGTGCCGGGAGGGGAGAGTGGGACCTCCCAGGCGTAGGGGTGTCGCAGGCGAGCGGCAGGCGCGGCTTGAGGTGGAGGCAAAGSACCTGGCTGGCCCTTGCTTGGAAAGTTGCGTAAACCTCAGCAGTGACCACAGACTAAGACCGAACGGAAAGGTTCTTCCTGGTGCTGGTGGATCTAAGTGGCGGGAGGAGGCGGAGCGTCTCGAACCTGCAGCCCTGGCGTCTGCCGGAGTAAGCCCTTGGGACACCCCGAACCAATGGCACCTGGGGGCAAAAGAGGGCGACCGCGGAGCTGGAGAGTGCGGCCCGAGTCGGCGGGAGCAGCCCTCACACCTGCCTTTCTGGCCGTGGTGTCCCAGTGCGGGTCGGGACGCCTGCCAAGGTTGCTGTAATCAGCACGCTCCGGCCGCCGGGCCCTTCTTCCTGCCAGATCCGGGTTCCGCCAGGYGAGTGAGTGTCGCCAACTCTCAGCCTCAGTGGCGGCTGCGGCGGCGTCGGGCTGGAGAAGAAGTCGGGCCCAGCCAAGAGTCTGTTTCGGGACCCAACGCGCCAGGAGCGAGGTTGAGGTCTCCACTCGGATCTGAAGTTGAGGCTTGCACACACCTATACACCACACACACTCGGGTTTCCTAGACAGGCTCCTTCCGCTTCCCCGACACCCCAGCCCAGCTCGGGCTTGACTACAGCCCGGGGTCAGCTGGGCAGCCTGCCTGCCAAGTACGACTGGGCCCGAGCCCGCTGGCTCTGCACTGGGAAAGGCAGCCGCCACTGGGTTCAGTTAAAAGTGCAGGAGTGCAGGGTAAATATCCTCCCGGCTCTTCCTACAGCACCGGATGAGGGGGGTTGAGGATGGGAGGCATGGAAAACGACTGGCTGCTTTGCATTTTATGATGGAAAAACTCCTGTTTTGTAGAAGGGCTGGCACGTTCCCGGCACACCTGGCAAAATCCCTGTCCTGGCCGCCTTGGTAAGGTGTGTCTGCACAACCCTACTGGCCCTCCTCCTAGAACGTCCCCATCATGTTTGAACAGGCTTAATAAAAAATCAAAAAGCATCTCGGAGCAACTGAAATGACAAGGTCAAGTTACAACATCTGATTTTTGGCTGTATAGATTTTGAGGCAGAAAAAGAGAAGGTGGAGGAAGGGATTCTGTTGGCCACAGCAACAGAATCCCTACTTCTCAAGTCAGCATATGCCATGTACACACTTTATGGCATTAGGCAATTAGCTAATGCTTCCTCTATAAAGAACAGGCATAAGTGCTTTATGTATGAGAAACATATATTTTATCAATTCAAGCATATGAGTGGAGTGGTATCATAATTTAAAGAACTTGGCATGATGCTGCTCTCTGGCTTCGAGGTCTTATTTATTTTACAGTTGAGGAACTGTAGACAAATCAGGCATTAAAAATGAGTGTGCATACATTCTTAAAAGCTTGACTCTGAGTTTCATGGCAGGCATAAATAGACAGTAATAGTGACCCCTACAGGAAAACTCCTGGACTTTTCTAATTTGATCTTTGGCCATTTAGTTACCCATTTCTTCTTTAGCTTTTAAGATTCATTTATAGCTTGAGAATAAGACTTCTTGGCTTCTTAAACTAATGGTTGCAGAATAATTATTAGTATTTCAAAATGATTTAAACTAGACCAATTTGAACTTCAAATGAGCTGTAATAACTGACCTTTGAGGTCTCAAGTTGCTAAGATTTCAAAGTCATATAACGTGTAGACTATGGAAAATCTGCACAACTTTCCTAGGCTATTCAACTTGGTATATATCAGAATCCTTGAACATGTCCATCCCCTTTGACCAAACCAATAATTCCTTCTATAAGATATAAGGAGAGGGGGCTGGGGTTGCAGCTCAGTGGTAGAGTGCTCACCTAATTCAGGTGAGACACTGGGTTCTATCCTCAGCACCACATAAAAATGAATAAATAAAAATAAGGCATTGTGTCCACCTACAACTAAAAAAGTTTTTAAAAAGATATAATCAGGGAGAAGTCCCCATGATTTATAGGCAAAGATTTTATTTCTAATAACAACAAAAACTAGATCAGTAAATTAGTTTATCCACACAATGAGATGTTATGTAGCCTTTAAATATTGTGAATAACAAATATGATCCATTACCACATAATGACAGTTTGACCAGTGACAGACTGCATATATAATGTAGTCCCACAAGATTATTTTGCCAAGTGCTGATGACCTAGCCATCTTAGATTGTATGTATACACTCCAGGATGTTCACACATCAACAAAATTACCCAACTATGCATTTCCTGGAATGTACTCCCTTTGTTTAGAAATGAATGATTATATATTAAAAACAAAGATTTGGGGAGAATCATCAAAAATACATTAAGTGAAAGGGCAAGATATAAAAATAGAAGCAGTATGATCTACAAATTTTATTATGAGAACACATTTGCATTTTGTAATTTTTTTTAGTTGTTCTTTTTAGTTACACATGATGGTAGAAAGTATTTTGTCATATCCTGCATACATGGAGTATAACTTCCCATTCTTGTACATGATACAGAGTTACACTGGTTGTGTATTCATATTTGAACATAGGGAAGTTATGTCCAATTCATTCTACGTCTTTCCCATTCCCACTGCCCTTCACTTTCCCCCATTTCCCCCTGTCCAATTCACTACCTCCCTGTGCCACCCTACCTGTTGTGAGTCAGCATATGCATATTAGAACATTCAGTCTTTGGTTTTTTGAGATTGGCTTATTTCACTTAGCATGATAGCCTCCAGTTCCATCCACTTACTGGCAAATGCCATAATTTCATTCTTTCCGTATCTGTACCACATTTTCTTTATCCATTCATCTATTGAGGGCACCTAGGTTGGTTACACTGCTTAGCTATTGTGAACTGAGCTTATGAACATTGAACACATATGCATTTTTAAGAGATTAAAGGGACATATACTCTAGTATATGCTCTGAGTCATAAATGTCACAATTATGCTCTGATTAAAACTGTAGAAAATTATTTGGGGCAACTCACATGAAGTTATTTAGATCCTGCTCTCTTCAGTTGTAAGATAAGGACTAGAATAAACTCAAAGGATTCACCCAACTTGAACATTCAAAGTATTTATCTGATGATTTTCATACTTATATGAAGATATCAAAAATAATTGTAAAGTTGTTGTTATTCATGGGAACTTTAAAACCACTATATCAAAAGTCAATTTATTTTCTACTTCTATATTTTATTTGTCTCCATTTTTCTTATCTTTAGGATCTGGAGTCAATATAAGAATCATTTTAAGTTATGGATTCACTTGAAACATCTTTCCAGGAAGAGTAGTTTTGAAGGGTTCTTAGTAAAAGATACTTGCTTTGCTAAATTACTCCAAAAAAAAAATGCTGTAATTCTGTCTTATTCCTCTTACTGATTAGAGCTCCGTCGGAGGCCTTCCAGGTGCTGCCTGGGTAGCTCATTACCTGGCATTCCTCTAATGTTCATTGAGTCGTGCCAACCCCAGTACTGGGCACGAGGATTCAGACAGCAAGACAATTCCAGACTTTAGGTAGTTCTGTAGTCTGCTGGTAACAAGTAAGACTGAGACCCCAAAATCTGAACCTAACCCTTCCTGCTTCCTGGTAAGAACACAAAGTCACCTGAGTGGCTCTTGGGGCCTACAGATATACACAGCAGACCCTCTGCAAACTTCTCCCTCTGCTTAGCCTCATCACCCATGGCTCTCCTAAACTCTAGACAGATGCACCTGCACATTCTCCTCAGGGATGTGCCTTGGTGCATGCTGTTCCCACTTTCAGGAATGCCATCTCTTTCTCCAGGGAAAGTTTGGTGACTTCTTTTACAAACACATCTCTCCTCAGAATCCATCTCCTCCTCTTCTCAAACCCATCTTTCTCTGCTGCCACCACCTATGTTCCCCTCTTCAACAGCCTACTCTGTAGGAGCACAGCTCACAATAACCAGCCAAGGTGTCAGTTGGCGAATGGATAAGAAAATGTGGTATATGCACAGAGTGGAGTTTCACTCAGCCATAAAGAAGAATGAAATTGTGTAATTTGCAGGAAAATTGATGGAACTTGAGAACATTATGCTAAGCAAACTAAGTTAAACTCAGAAAGTCAAGGGTTGCATGTTTTTTTTCTCATATGCGGAAGCTAAAGAGGAAAAAAGAAAAGAAAGGTATGTGGGGGGGTCTTTTGAAAATCTAAGGGAGATCGATAGAGAAAAGGAACCAGGAGGAGGATGGTGGAGAAGAAAAGGGGAAACACAGAAGAGAGATATTAGCCAAATTCTGTTCTAGTCTATATTGTGTGCATGTATAAATATATAACAATGAATCCCGTCATTATGTACAACTATAATGCACCGATTAAAAGTGTGGGAAAAACTCCCGTCCTATTACACCTGCCTACTTCTGTTAATCTAAGAGGTACTCAGAAGTAGGGTTTTTCTTGTTTATCCATGATTCTTAGATTAGCAAACTTTAGTGGGCTGAATAAAAATTGAAACCAAGAAGAATTCATCTGAGAGAAAGTGTTCTATGGCAAAGACTGAAAAATCAATAAGCAAGACTATAACAAATGAATTTATGGTTTAGGAGGAACTTTGTATATGAGCTAACCCAGGTTGCCACTGGTCCCCTTAATGTCTGCCCTGTTTCTAATTCAGAACTGCCAGAGAATGTACAATAGAGGGCTGAAAGATGCTGTTCTCTTATAAATGTATCATTTTAGAATTTCAAAAGTAACACAAAAATATGACCTTGAGGAAATTCATAAAGCTAAAATACCACTAACACCCCTGCTCTACCTCAGAGTTTTTCAACCTGCAGTTGTGACTCATTCTTGGATTATAACCAGCATTTTTTAAAAGAATGAAATAAAAAACAGAAATTATTGAAGTATGTTGCGTGTTTTATTGTTTCATAAAATGTTTACTTCACTTACATACATGATTATTAACTCTTTTGCGGGGCGGGTGGGTACCACAGAGCCATAAACCTAGCCCTTTATATATATATTTTTTTATTTTGGGACAGGGTCTCCCTAAGTTGCTCAGACTGGCCTTGAACTTGCACTCTTCCTGCCTCAGCCTCCCAAGTCACTGGGATTACAGGCATGCACCCTGGTGCCTGGCTGAGTATGATCTTAACCAAAATAGCTGTCCACGGGAGTACGGGAATTAACTTGGCCATATTCCAGATAGGTTAGGCTAAATGATTCCAAATTTTATAGTTCATTTTTATAAATCCAATGTGTTTCCAATTTTTCATTCAGTTTTCTGAGTCCAACATGTTCTCTAAAATGGTTTGAGAACAACTTCTGCTACATCTTCTCCAGATTGTAGGTGAGAGTTGATAGAGGAATGACAGATAAGGAGTGAGTAATAATTGTGGCTGGCAGCTGGTTGCACTCAACATTTGTTC